GTTGTTAAAGTTGAATTAGATCCCCTCCAATTTAAACATATTTTCCACACATAATTAATTTAATTAATTAAATTCAATAATAAATCATTCTAAAAAAATACTTAAATCAAGGTTTACATAACCAGACAAGACAAAAGACATACATCCTTTATATACTAACAATATACTACACCCCAACATTGTTTTTGTCGAGTGGTCACCCCTGGAGTCCCTACAACACTAGTATAAAAAGATTGGCTCATTCAACTTTAATAGCCCGGTTTTATAGTATTGGGTTGTTGGCCTATTACCAATGATTTAGATTCGTCTATGATAAATCATTGGTCAGGATTCAAGCCCGTAAGGGATTCCAAACACCATCTCCACCTCATATAAATATGAATGGATGTTCCAACAAAGAAGGAGGAGGTCATGAAGAGAAAAACAAGCCCCTTGCACCATCCAAAACATAGTTCACCCATTCCCTGTTCCAACCGAAAACCAAGCCACCATCATACTTGAATTAACACTTGACAAACCCTAGATCATTTACCATTATCCTAGTTACCCACAATAACTTCAAGCAGGTGCACAACAAGATCCAAGTCTATTTTGGATCCTTCATTACAATTGATCTAAAGCTATTTGGGGTCCTGCAGTATGCGGGACCCAAAGTTAGTTGGGTTTTGGCATAACCTAAGTTCCACATGTGCACTACGGTATACTCAGCACTGAGGCAAAAGCCCAAGTGCCACCTGTATCCTTGGTCTGCTAGCATACAGGCAAACAGCCCAAGCGCCACGTGTGAGCTGGGGGTATGCCCAGCACACAGGCATCAACCTAAGCATCAAGTGTCCTCACGTGGTTTTTCTTCGATAGTAATAATAATTTTTTAAATTTTTTAATGATAATGATACTAGTAGTAGTAATAGTAATAGTGGTAGTATTAATGATGATGATGATGATAACAATACTAACAATAGTAATTTTTAGTTTTACCTGACGATGATGATGATGATGATGACGATAACATTACTAACAATAGTAATTTTTAGTTTTACCTTTCAAATCAAATCTATGGTTATTTTTCAATATTAACAATAAATTTTTTTATAATTTAGTAATTATTTTATTAATAATATTCATTATTATAAAAATAATAATATTTATAACATAAAATATAATATTTTTAATGTTAATAATTTGATTATAGTTAAAATAATAATATTTATAACACAAATAATACTATTTTTTATATTAAAACTTTGAATTATTATAAAAATTATAATATTAGAACACAAATAATAATATCTTTAATATGAAGACGTTGAATTATAAGAAAATAATAATATTTAGTACACAAATAATAATATTTTTTATATTAATACTTCAAACTACAGTAAAAATAAATATTTTTATTTTTAATTATAATAAAAATAAAAATATTTTTACCGTAAATAATAATATTTTTTATATTAATGCTTTGAACTATAATAGAAATAGTAATATTTATAACACAAATAATAATATTTTTAATATTAACACCTCCAGGTTGGATCTAGATGCCATCGCGACCACCTTTATATTGGGCCTGGACATTTTCACGTCCAACCCCACGTTGGGTATAGACGCGACCGCGGCCAACTCCATGTTGGACTTACTGCGTCCACACCAAACTCTATGTTGGGCTAGACTCCACCACGTCCACCTTCATATTGGACCTCGACATGTCCCCGCCCAACCGCATGCTGGTTTTTCTAATATAATAACATGTGTCATAAATATTATTATTTATCTTATAATTCAAAGTGTTCATATAAAAATATCATTATTTGTGTTATACATATTATTATTTTTATTATAACTCAAGGTATTGAGATAAAAAATATTATTATTTGTGTTATAATCATCATTTTTATTATAATTCTAAATTTTTATATAAAAAATAGTATTATTTATGTTATAAGTATTATTACTTTTATTATAATTAATAGTATGAATATTAAAAATATTATCACTTATTATTTTTATTATATTTAATATTATTAATAAAATAATTGATAAATTTTAAATAATAATATTTCTCATAAAGACATTAACCAAAGTGCCACGTGTGCACTTAATCTACCCAACACACTAGCAGTTAACCCAAGCCCCACATGTGCACTTGGCCTGCCAAACACCATGCCCATATGCCCAAGGCAGGACAGATCAAGCGCTAGGTTACTGCAGCCTGGGGCACAGTTAGTGGACGTGGCCTACCCAGCATCCAGGCTTGGCAACCAAGCATCAAGTGTCTGCAGCCCGAAGAGATGTGCCTCCAACCTGGAGCTTAGGGTTTTCTGGTTGCAGCCTCATATATGCCCAGACTAAATAGTACAGTCCATAATAAAAGCACTCACATTACATAGTAGCCCGCGTTTTAGTAAAACACTAATAAGTTTTAATTATAATTAATAATGTATAAATAGTGAATGGGCACAAGCTAAGATAGGCAATTGGTTATAATATGTTAGATTAAATGCTAAGTTTTTTTTAATTACTATAGGTCATTTTGCTGGCCAAATTGGACATAGGCCAGCCCGTACAACTAGGTTGGGCCTCTCTCTAAAAAAGGGAATTTGCGGTTAGAAAGCCTTAACCAAGTAGCTAGGTTGAGTTATTTTTAATAAGACAGTGTTTGGATGAGTTTTGTTTTAAAAAAAAAACAATATTTTGTTTTTATGACATATTTGTCAATCACAGTTTTAAAGCATTTTCTTTAAACCTTTAATTTTTTAGTTAAGTACATATTTGACAAACATGTCCTATTGATTTTCCAGCAATGATTTTTTTTTTTATCTTTTTCAAACAAAACTCAAATACTGTCCAGAAATTATGAAACAATCCAAGGACCATTTTAAAATTATTTGTAGGTTTCTTGCTTGTTTTCCAACCATTTCATTTAATATCTAGGCTTTAGACTTACAGTATAAGATATTTACCTAATATTAAAAATACTTGTTGTTTTTATTTAAAAAATACAAAAAAGTCATTTTTATCATGCTTTTAAAAATACAAAAATCAATTAATGAGTATCATAACAAGTTTATAATTATCTATTCGTATTTGACTAAAATTTTAAAAATACTACAAAAATTAATTTGTTTAATTAATATTTGGGGTATGAATTTTACAACATAATGTATATTCTTGATATTAAATTAAATAAATTTTAAAAAATTAAATATTTAGAATTAATTATAGACTTTAATATTTGAGGGAATAAAGTTACATTGTAAAGTTTATTCTCAGGTATTAAATATACAAAATAAAAATAGATACAACATTAAAATCCATACCTTATAATAGTTAGGTTTTAGCTTGATAAGGCAGAGATCTCCTTACTGAGAGGAATATGTCTTAAATCATAGATAAATTAATCAATAGAAGCATGACTTAAAAAACAATCAATCAATAATTAGATTACAGTAGGTAGGATGCATTGTGGGTGATGCGTTTTTTCTATGTATAATTAATTCTCTTATCTAAATTCTTACAGATCAGCAGGTTTCTTGGTAACTATAATAATAGATAGTGACTCTTCAATCGTTCAACTTATAATTTTATAGTTATTCCTAACATGTTCAAAACCCTCTCGAACTAAAAGACAGATCTGTCATTCAACATCATGCACAACATGAGAAATGGTATCATGTTTTTTAATTTGATCCTTTTTTTATTTTTACTTTTTTTTGGTTTTTTTGTAAAAGTTATTATTCTTTTCAATTTTATCCTTCAATCAAAATATTATTTTTATTTTTATGTCAATTTTGATCCTAGTTCTTTTGATTTTTTTCTTCTTTTACTTTTCTTTTCAATTTCACCTATCAATCAAATATAGAATTTATTTTATTTTTAAATTTTGATACTCATTCTTTTAATTGCTATTTTTTTTAATTTTTTATATAATTAATTTTTTTTATTTTCATCATTTAATATTTAATTGATTGAGAATTAAACTTTATGGTTTGTCTATATTGGATGCTTTGAGTTTAATGATATGGGTTACAAGTTTGAAAAGTTAACATTACTTTATAATCCTTTTTATTTTTTTGTATGATTATTTCAATCTTATTATTTAAACCACGGATCTAGCAAGATATTTCAGGTTAACACGACTCTAATCACCATAATTATAAATTTGTCATATTAATTCATGTTGATCAAGATTAATTATTTTATATTTTTTTTACACCATTTTGATATTTGAACAATATTTTGTTATAAAAAAAATATTCAATCCTACGATGAAATGCATGTGTCGAGGCTACTAATATCTAAAAACCAACCAACATGTATTTAACATTGATATAGGAGTCACAAACTTGAAAATACTTTGTTATTTAAAATCAAATTGACTTTCTCAAAGTATTTAATCTTCTTTTATATCTTCCAATATAAACTTTATTTTGAAATTTAAAACTATAATCGGAATCGGAATCGGAATCGGAGAGACCGGCAAATAAAAAAATAAATCGAATTTCAGAGTGAAACCCGTATTTACCTTATTGAAAATGGACTTTCCATGATCCATATTCCATGCTTCCATACAGTAATTAAACCAAGCAAAGTAGATCCTCGTTTCTTAACGGCTACAAATCCAAGCTATAAAAATCACAATCCCGCTAAAGTCTAACGGTTCTGCCTTTTTGCCCTCACTATTCAAATCCCATTCCTCCAACGGTCAACAACCCCCAACTATATTTAAATCCCCCAAGTTATTTCCAAAACTAGCCGTTGCCATCATTCTCCCTTCCCTCTCAACAAACTCTCTCTCTCTCTCTCTCTCTCTCTCTCTCTCTCTCTCTCTCTCTCTCTCTCTCTCTCTCTCTCTCTCTCTCTCTCTCTCTCTCTCTCTCTCTCTCTCTCTCTCTCTCTCTCTCTCTCTCTATCTATCTATCTCAAATCAGATCCATAACATTAAACAGATTACTTTTCGACACTCAATTCAAGAAATCAGTCAATATTTACCCGTAATCAGTACTTTGGCTAAAGAATCCATGGCTGCAAGCAAGAAGTTGGATTCTCGCTCTCCGATACCAAGCAGACCAACCAATCCTGGTTCAAGAAACTCAGAGATTAGTAATCCAATGAGAAGGAGTTTCAGTGGAAGCCCATTTGTCAAACCCTCTATTATTTCCAATCAAAGAGGAGCAGGAGGCTTTAACCCCAACACGCCTGTTAATACTCCTTCAGGTTTGATTTCTTTTCTTTTCTTTTTTTCTTTTTGGCGGTTAATAAACGATTACTATATTTTTATTGGGTTTTGTTTCATCTTTTCTATAATTGAGTTGGGCTCTGTTTTTATTCTAATTTTTGTTTGAAAATAGCTTGTCGGGTTTTATGTTTGTTTATGGTTTGATTGGTTTACAAGAAAATGTGGGGAAGTAAGGGAAAGGATAGAAAATCGTTGCATTAGGTGCTTGCTTGTATGAGGTTTTGACATAATGATGGCTTAATGGCTTGTTGATTCCTGGTCTAGCAATTAAGTATTTCATTTATGAACGTTTTTGTTTTGTTGCTGGAAACTTGTTCGTACGTCAATTTTGCAATCTAATATGTTGGGTGTCTTAGAGTGAACTCTGTAGCTTCATGTTAATGTTACGCTGAAGTAAGTGTACTTGAAACCAATAGTTGCTGTTAAAATTATAAAGTACAAAATGTTACAATCCAGTTAATCATAAAGTACAAAATGTTACAATCCAGTTCCCTTTTTGTCTTCAGCAGCCTTGGAATTGCTTTATTGGTTCTGTTAAAATCCCTTTCTGTCTTTAACAGCCTAGGAATTTCTTTTTTTGCAGATTATCCTCAAAGAAACTCCTTTAGCAGAGAAAATATAGTAGTTGCTTTGCCTGATCACGAGGACAAAGAAAATGGTAAAGACCAGAATTGGAAATCAGTGCGAATACGTTCACCAGCAAAGGGTGGTGCAAAGAATTTCATGTCTCCAACAATTTCTGCAGCTTCAAAAATTAATGCATCTCCAAGAAAGAAAATCTTGGCAGACTGGAATGAGCAAATTCGCACTTCAATCTCGTTTTCTGATACTAAAAGCCCTTTGACGGAAGACTTATACTCAAAGCCGAGCAAGGGTTTGAATCAGAAGAAGGAGGTCTCGTTTGATTCAACAGTCACTTACTTGGGTGACAATGAGGATTCCAAAAGTGAGGAACATGTTGATTTAATGGTAGATTCGCATTCTAAAGATGATTTGATTGAAGACTTGTACTCAAAGCCGAACAAGGGTTTGAATCAGAAGAAGGAGGTCTCGTTTGGTTCAACAGTCACTTACTTGGGAGACAATGAGGAATCCAAAAGTGAGGAACATGTTGATTTAATGGTAGATTCGAGTTCTAAAGATGATTTGGACATGTCATCAGAGAACCTAACTATGGAGAAGGATTGTGTTAATCTTGATCCAAGTTTTGAGATTAGTCCAAGGGTTTCTTCTTCATTTCCAAACCCTGCTTTGGCACCTCTTGATGCAGATCCATCAGTGCCTACTTATGATCCTAAGACTAATTACCTCTCACCAAGGCCTCAGTTTCTTCGTTATAGGCCCAACCCTAGAATTGAGCTTTATCTAAACAAGGAAAGAGATGGCCAACCACTTGAGGAGATCTTTGCATCTGGGTGCTCTTCGGAAACTGAAGTTAGTGAAGCAGAAGACAGTCACTCTGATGATTCACGGAAAGAATCGGATGCTTCTTTGGCTGATGAGGAGAAAGAATCGGATGCTTCTTCAAGTGATGAGGTGAAAGAACAAGAGGAGTTGGAAGAGTTGCTGCTAGCATCCGAGCCCATTTCCATTGGTACTTATGTTGAGGAGGAGGAGCTACTTGTATCTGAACCCAATTCCATTGGTACTTCTGTGGAGAACGCTGAAGAGAAAAGGGTGCCTAAATCACGTTTCTATACAAGAAGAAAGTTCATCGCTTTGCTTTCGGTCCTGACTGTTGGATTTTTATATGTTTCAGTTTCTAAATCCCAAGTCATGGATACTTCTGTGCTCAATAACTTCACCTTTTTCGAGCCATATGTCCCACCTGAATTCTCAGAGTATAACAGGCAAACTTTTGATGTTCTAGCTCAAAAGGTCCAGCTTTGGCTACATCAGTCTCTGTGTTACACGCATAATCTGATAAACTGCTTCAGAGGCGTGCACATTTTGGGTCCTTTTCAGTATGCTAATTTGACCGTTTTGCTCAAGGATGACATAGTTGATAGTCAATTTGTATTTGACCAGAGCATTTTAAGATCGAAAGTTAAGTATGAAGAGAAAGTTTTGGAGTCCATAAAGGGGGCAGAGGTCAACATTAATCTAGCGGATGAAGAAGATCAACCAAGGGCAGTTGACGAGAACATTGAATTCGTAGGAGATAAAAATGAATGGGATTTTAATAGCGCTCCGGATTCTGAAGAGTTTAGTGCTCCCGAGTCCATAAAGGGGGCAGAGGTCAACATTAATCTGTCGGATGAAGAAGATCAACCAAGTGCATTTGAGGAGAACATTGAAGTCGTAGGAGATAAAAATGATTGGGATTTTGATAGTGCTCCGGATTCTGAAGAGTTTACTGTTCCCGAGTCTGAAGTAGCAAATCTGCGCCCCGGATCTGGGGTGACTGAAACTGGTAAGTCAGCACAAGAAGTCATCCAAGAAAGTGCTGAAACTGCTGCCAACGTTTTGGAGCTTCAAAGTAACATGGTCCTTGAAGACCAGTCTGTTCTGATCCCACAGGCTGCAGAAATTCAACAAGAAATCTTGAATTCCATGCCATCTCAAGGTATAAATGATATTAGTACTGCAGGTATTGTGTCCCCTGCATCAGAGGTCAATTTTGAAATACTTGCAGGTTCTGAAACAGAAAATCTACGGAGTTCAGAATTAGTGAACGCACGCCCAGCACAGATAATGGTGGGAATTTCCTTGATTGTTTTCAGTCTACTTGGAACAGCCTTCGTTTATATGAAAAGTCAAACCCCCACAACTCGAAATGCTGCATCTGCAGTGGATCAAATGCCAGCCACTAAGAAACTGGATGATAGCCCATTGCCAGTTGCAGCAGAACATACAGACATTGTTGGAGAGTTATGCCCATCGGAAATGAGCAGTTTCAGCTTGTCCTACAGCAAGAAAGGACAGGGGGGTACAAGTGAAGCTCATAGCTGTGAGAGGAAGCCTAGGAAGAACATTTACAGGAGAGAATTCATGGCTTCGCCGGATTACTCTGTTGGCTCCATGGGTTCGCCTTCTTACGGCAGTTTCACCACGTATGAAAAGATTAGCAAGCATGTAAGATCCAACTGTCCATTTATGCTTGTGTTGTGTACATTTATAGCTATAACTTGAATTTTTTTTTATCTTATGTGTGTCTTTCTTTTTTGGTTTTGAAGGGAATTGAAGATGAAGAGGTGATCACTCCAGTTAGGCGCTCTAGCAGAATTAGAAACCAAGTCACATTTCCGTGACCCACAAATCAAAAGCAATTTCTGAATGTGTCCTCTCTAGTGATTGAATTGCTATTTAATTGCGGAGTTAGATTGTTTCATTGTTTGTGATTGAATCGCTATCTAATTGCGGAGTTAGATTGTTTCATTGTTTGTGATTAAGCAGTGATTCTGTAGTTTTCCATTGTTAATACAGGTTTTCTTTTTCTTTTTGTTTTGCTTAGCAATTTTTTAACCAAATATGGCAAATATGGCAATTGAGCTGATGTTGTTGCATCTGGAGTTTTGCAACTTGATTTTTTAGTTTCAAGTGAGGAAACTAGTGTCATCGGGCTCGAGACCAGATCAGATAGAATCCAGGCAAAAAATATAGATGTGGCTTGGAACAATACATAGTTTTTATAC